GATCAGCTGCCTCCTGCACACTCCCCACTGGGGATGTGCCTGCAACCAAGGTACATGCCCTTGACAGGAATTGAACCTGGAACTCTTGAGTCCACAGGCTGATGCTCCATCCACTGAGCCAAACTGATTAGGGCAATGAATTCCCTTTTAATGTGCACGAATTTCATGCACTGGGCTAGTAATATATATATATATAAAAGCCAAGTGACAGAATGGCCGGTCACTATGACATGCTCTGCAGTGACCAACAGGCCTGATCAGGGACCTGATCACCCCCCCCCCCCCCACCCCCAAAACCGCAACCTCGTACCCTCGCTTCCAGCCAGTCTGGTCCCCCTGCTGGCCTGGCCCAATGGGCCCCCATCAGGGTGGACTGGCCGGATCCCACCTGTGCATGAATTCATGCACCAGGCCTCTAGTCAAATAATATAAATGTATTCAAAGCTACTGATTTTATAACATGCTACACAGATTCAGTGCTCTTGTAAAATTAATTCATTGAGCTTTTGAATTGTATTTATAATCAGTATTCTATATATGACCTAATAGAAAAGAATAGTAACACCAAAACACTTCTTTAAAAGTACCTATTTTGAGGTTGTAAGGTGCCTTTTGTTTTTAGCAAAATGAGAATAATACAATCTAAAATTCTAGTCACTTTAAAGTGGATTATTGCTAAACTGAGACTTTCAAGGATATAAACCTCTCATTTTCTGTGATCTGTTGCATTATAGTATGAGCGCAGCATATTTGAGATAGAAAGAAGGGAATGTTAATGGAATTTGAAGGCCTCCTATTGTGAGTAATATCTCTGGATACATCGACTAAATCTAACCTTCCCATACAACTTAAACAGTACACTGATACAGGCAAGAACTTTGGTTACTCATGCTTTTCTTTCATAAAAAAAGATGTTGACCTGACCATAATCTTTTAAGAGCTATTATTATTCATTGTCAGGGCAGAGAGAAGAGGCACGCAGAATTGTTGTGTAGAAATACTATATTTCTGTCTGAGTTTTAATGACAAGTTACAATATGAGAGATTATTTTCAATTGATGAAAAATCTGAGTTTATAATTAAGAATGTAAACAAAAAGAGAGGAAATTATTGCTAAAGGTAGGTGGGCATATATGGATAGCTTAATTCCTTAATGACTGCCTCATATCAGGTCATTTGTGAAAGATATAAACTATTCTTTATCTGATTTCATATTCTAATCATGTGATTTCCAATTACTGTTGGTTTATCATTGGAAACATAATTTCAGAATTTGTTCTATTGAAAGAGTTATGTGTCATAGATTACTTTTTAAAATTTATTTCAGAGAAAGGAGGAGAGAGAGAGAGACAGAGACAGAGAGAGAGAGAGACTTGTTGTTCCATTTATTTGTGCACTCTAAGGCTGATTTTTGCCTGTGCCCTGAGTGGGATAGAACCTGCAACCTTGGCACATTGGGAGGAAGATATAACCAATTGAGATACTTGGCCAGGGCCTTCTTAAAGTGATTTAAATTGGACACATTTTTAAATGTTAAACTCTATTTCACTTAAGATATAAATAGGTGCTTTTGGAAAAATTTATTTTAGGAAATAACTGTCTGAATTCTGAATGTATATGAATCTGGGTTTCTTCACACACTGTACTTTATCTAGTCTTATTGCTTTTAAATAGAAAAGATGAATAAATAGGTGAATGATGCATTAATGAAAATGATAAGGAAATACTTAAACTCCTTAAGTTGGTTTTCAGGTGAGCGCTAACATGAGAGTTACTGGACAAAAAGAAGAGTGG